TTTTGTGATTTGTAACAAAGCACAGTACAGCTGCCATCATCCAGTAAATCAGAAAGCAAAAATAGTTCTTAAGCAGTTAGTATTCTGCTTTATTTGCTAATTAAAATGGGGTTTGGAACTGCTCTTCAAAATGATTGCTCTAATTAATTTGTTGTTCTTTTGCAGTTCTACCTTCTATGCCATTTGAATACAAGGCAATCCCTTGTGCTTCTTGAAAGCATGACGGCCAACAGGGCATCCTTCCCTTCCTCGGAACAGCAGGCTTTATTGCTTGTCATTGTTTAATAAAATGTCTATTCTACCAGGGCTAAAAAGTCGCCCATATACACACTAGCACAAATTTATTTGCAATAAAATGCAAGTATAAACCCACGTTTTTAATTAACAGCAAATATTTGTTTAATTTATGCAGAATTGAAAGAAAAACAGATGATTGCTTTTATAAGGCCAGTGACAGATTTTAGTTTTAATTACTTTTAAAGCTTAATAAAAGATAGTGATTATTTTAATTGCTATTCCTGTCACTGTGATATAATCTTTCATTTTGTGGTTGATGGATGGTATTTAAGATAAATACAGTTGCCTTTAAAACATGGCCTGCGTTACTGGCATGACTATGCAGAGTACAAGATATCATGTACGAAAAGGGAACTAAGGGGGTGAAGAACGGAAGCAGATGCGCTCATTTGACATTCATCAGAGTGCTCAAAAGTTTGAAAATTATTCACATCCGTCAGGACATGGATTTAAGGAGGTGTAATCGAAATATTGGTTGTGGATGTGTTATCTGGTAGAGGTATCCTTCTATTTCTCAAACTGATTCTGCCATCTGTGCTTATACGTATACTATGTGTATTATACCACAAAGCCTGATTGCGAAGTGTTGTATTCAGTGGCTTGTTCAACAAAGAAACAGGTTATAATATTGTTTGTTCTATTTATTAGAAAATTTGAATCAAATATAAAAATAAAGAGCGGGTCTGGAACTGAAGTTCACTGAAGAAAGTGATCACTAGAAAAATCATTAGAAAAATCAGTAGAAAAGTAGATTTGAGATTATTGCAAAAACCGTGTGATGAAAACTGCAATACTTACAAGTAGTAGCATGATCCCACAAGTATCACTGAAGTGACCTCTCAGCTATATTCAGAGAAAAGATGTGAATCTATCATGTCTTATTTTATTTGGCTAGTTGCACTTAGCATGGCTGACAAGAAAGTTTTAAACTCTTCAGATTTTCATCGCCAGCACTTTTGGAACTAACCTCTCTTTTCTTAAGGAGGGCATAAATGACCATGATTACAGCCTGTTATAATGTAACGAATTTAAGATATTAAAGATGAATGGTCCTAAATTTAGTTTTGTGAGGCTTTTTATGCCTTCAAGCTAAAGATATGTCAGTGTAGTGGCTTGTGGGTTATGCTTAGTGCGGTATCTGGATCCAGGGTGTTATGAGCACTATATTAAATATTGGATAACTGTAGCGAAAATCCATTTTTCAGAAAAACATCTCTGTCAACCTAAACCTCCAAGCTATCTCAAGCTTGTCTCTCCATATCTATTTGGTTGGTCATTTAAAAAAAAAAGTAAATATGGAAATGACCTCACAGTATCTAGGTACTCTCTGGTAAAGAAATTTCCATCAGAACATTGTTAGTAAATTATAAATCATGGAAAGGAACTGGCACTTATTCACCTTTCTTTTCTTGCCCATCTGTCTTTTCAACAGCATTCCAAGATCAAACAGATGCTTTTAAAATTTTCTTCAATGAGCAAACAGACTAAGCAACCCCTACATATCCTACAAGACAAAATCTTCTCTGAGAACAGAGGCAATGCAGAGATTGTCTCCTCTGTGCAAGGTGCCTCTGATCTCCTTGCAGAGGGCCTCCTCTCTGCTGGGCACGTGCTGATTCTTCCTGGAATAAGGTCCTCTCTCCGTTTCTGTGTATCGCCCACTCTCATCTTGATTACCTCCACAAGGGTCTTTTTTCAACCCTGCACTAAACTGTTTATCGTTCCTGTTCCATTTTTTCCCCCAGTGATTTCTTAAATTAATGACCTACATTTTCATAGCTGATTGTTTGCATTTTGCAGATGGCTGCAAGTACTTAGCCTTCAGTTTTGTGCTTTACAACATTGTGACTTACTGCTGTAATAGTTATTTCCCATACATCTGGAATATAAGCTTGCATACTCAAGTCTTTGTGATCATATACATTTTCATGTGCAATTCCTTCGCATTTTACTCCCACCACCCAGCAGTTTTGTAGCTAGGCATTTACAAAATACTACTATGACAACAACAAAATCTTTTTCAGTAAAGTCTGTGTTTTAAAATAGCAAAAGAAAGACTTCTCTCAGTAGCACTGAGAGAAAAGAAATCCACATGTAATTTGCTTCCTAATTTCACTGTATTATTGTCATTCCTAAGTACCTATTGTATACTCCTGCCTATCAAAATATGCTGATTTTCCCTGGTGTCCTTCAACACCTTATTTTAATGGAGGTGCTTATTTAAATTGAGGTGTTTATTTAAATGGAGGTACTGGAGGTGCTTCCTGACACGAAAAGGAACTAACACAAGTTTGTTCTCCTGCATGAGCAGCATCAGCTGATACTTCTATCTGGTAGAACGAATATGTTTGTGGAAAAAGGCAAGAGTGTCTAGAAGGTAAAACACAAACTCTGAGTAGTGATGAGCAAATGTGTGAGTTGGAGAGGGATGCAATGGGAGAGGCTGGTGGTATGGAGAGATAGCTGAAACAAGCAGATGGCTTAAAGGAAGCTGAGAAAGGCTGTTAGCACATAAAGCAGAAGACACTTGAAGATGAATTGCCATTTTGAGTTGCTAGGTTTTTTTCCTTATTTAGCTAACTACTGTTCCGATAATGACTTATATAATATCTTCTCTGTGAAGACTTTAAGTCTTCTTTAGATTGAAGGTACCTTTTTTATAGAATGAAAGCACAGACTTAAAAAATCGTTAAAGTCTAATGAAAGGAGAGGAAAAAAGTGGGATGAGACAAAGGTACCCATGCAACTTCCTTCCTTTTCCCTTAATCAAGTAAAAGTCATTCATTGCCCTATCAATGAGAAATAAAACCTAGGAGCCCACAGAAGGCAGTCCAAATGACTAGGCTGCTCAGCTTATCCCAGTCCAGCTTTTATGTCCTGGACCTGGGCTCTGTATGACCCCTCACCTCCTCCTATCTTGCTGCTTGAGATGTTTCATTACAGTAGTATCCTGTCTATTACTTCTCAATTGGCTTTGGACAGGCCCCTTAATTTACTCCTGGCTTTAGTTTCCCTACTCGTGAAATCTGGCTTACAGTGTTGACTGAGCCCAGAGCAGCATATCTGGGAGATGGGAGCTCATTACAATACATCAGGTAAAATACTGATGGAGGAAACATCTTTTCAAAGCAGGACACAAGCATTGCATTTTCCCATGCAGATGGAGTGCCAGGCAGACCCCTCCATCAGGTTAGTCCTGCACAATCAGCACATCTCAGGATAGATGTTCTTTTCAATTCTTGTCTTCATCAGACAGTATGGGTGATACATGGCAGATGTATTCGTGACAGTCACTGCTCGTTTGGACAAAGTGTACTAAGGCAGCTGAAAGCTTTGAAACATGTGCATTCATGTGACTAGGCCTGTGCTGAGTCTTCAGTCTTCAGTTGTCCAGTGTCTCCAAAGAAAGGCAAAGAAACTGGTAAAGAGTCTGGAGCACAAGTCTTAGGAGGAGTGGCTGAGGCAGCTGGGGTTGTTTAGCCTGGAGAAAAGGAGTCTTGGGTCGACCTTATTGCTCTCTACAGTTACCTGAAAGAGCAAGGTGGGGCTCAGTCTCTTCTCCCAGAGGACAAACAATAGGACAACAGGAAACAGCTTGAAGTTGCACCAGTGGAGGTGTAGACAGGATATTAGGAAAAAATTCTTCACCAAAAGGGTAACTAAGCATTGGAACAGGCTGATCAGGGAAGTGGTGGAATCACTGTCCCTGGAAGCAGTCTAAAAACATGTGGATGTGGTACTTAAAGACATGGTTTAGTGGTAAACTTGCAGTGCTGGGTTAATGGTTGGACTCAGTGTTCTTAGAGTTCTTTTCCAACCTTAATGATTCTGTGATTCTATGAAATACATTCTGGATGAGACACTGAAAGTCTCCTTCATCATTGTTACCTACCAGTGGGGTGGTTCTAGTTTTAATGAGAATAGTAACATACTGATGTGTGTCGAGGCAGAAGTGCATGCAGCCCTTTGGAACCAGAGAGTATATCTTTGGTTTTCTTTTGCTAAATGCATTGCTTTAATGTTATTCTATAACACCTATTCATTACTGCTAATGAATATAGAAATTATGAAGAAGATATAGCTCCAATTTCCTACTGTACCTGTAAAATATTACTGATTTAAATGAGGCCATGCAAACTATAAAATTACAGCATCATGCACTTTCATTGCAATATGATTGGATTGCCTCTCTAAATGGTTCATCATCAATCCCAATAAAGACAAAGCATGGGTCTAACTGTTGTCTTGAATCCAATAGCTTAGTTTTATTGCCTCAGTAGCAGCTGTTTAAGTGCCCCTTCCTCTTCCATTCAGTGATGTGATACACCTTTTTCATAAAGCAAGTTCATCAAACCTGCCAGGATTCTGCTCCAGCCCACCACAAGGGATCCTCTCAGTTTTGGAACTACACAAATGATTAAGAGGAACATAAATGAGTAATGGAAGTGTGAATGCCCACTATTTTCCCTTAAATTAATTAAAATTCAACAGGAAAAAGAGTATTAAAATCGTAGAATAACCAGAAAGCTCAAACTGAAAGACAAAAATATAAATGTTAATGTGTGTTATAAGGACCAAGAGTTCTATTCAGTTAATATTTTAACAGGTGAATTTTAACAGGAGGCAGGAACTGATTCTGTTTGGTACTCTGGGTACATAAGTTTCATAACTTCTAATTATTGTAATTCTTGTTCTAATTTCAGTGCGTTATTTCAAGCAAGAAGCAGTGCCAATGTCTTAAATGGGGAAAAAACACATATGGAAATTGAAGCTGATCAAAATTAAGGTAAAAAGTCCAAATTATTTTATGGAGTTCTAATACAGTTTTTGAAAGAGTGATTATATAACCCACACTCAGGCAAAATTCCTTTTTTCTCTCTTTAAATTATTTTTTTAGTGGAAAATTCACATTTACTTTGATATAAAATCTACTTACTTAAGGTGTCTGGGAATTTGTAAGCATGTATACTATGAAACATTTCTTTGTAATTTCTGGGCCTCGCTCAGCCCTGAGTTGATGCAGAGTGAAAAATTACTTCCTCTCTCTTTCATATCAGTTGCAATGGAAAAGGTACTGCTCACTATGAACACATTACAGGCCCTCTGGAAATATGGGAACTGCAAGGGAGTCACTGTGTATTTCATTGGATGCCTAGGCCTTTTCTGGCCACCTCCAACCCTATAGTACAGAATTTCAAGTTTTAAATGTCCTATTGTCCTATTTAATTTAAGAGGTATTTTGGTGCACGTCAGAAATATTTTAAAGAGTAAAAGCCCCATTTAAATGGGAAAGGATAGCATTCTTATATCCTTCTTGACAGAGCAGCTTTAACTGTACACCTTTTAATTGTGTGCAATAATGAAAGATCTTTATAGTTTTATTCTTGTGTATTATTTCCCAGCTGACCTAATTTATGAGAACTTTGGTAATTTATTGTTCGAATGCATATGAAATACCAGTAGTACACTGCCACAGTGATTCCCACAAAATACATTTTGTTTTGTTTTCTAAAATTAAAATTATTAATATTCCAAGAGACTAAAATGTAATGTTATCATTTTGTTTTCAGGAGATTTTCAGAAACATTTTATGCCACAGGGAGAATAAATATAAATATCCCCACTGCAGTTACTCTGCATATTTTATTATAATCTTCTACTGGTTTGCATTTTTCAGTCTGGAGTTTTGCGACCTGGATGACAATGGTTATGCTGATGAAGTTGTTAAGCTAATTAATATATAATGAATTAATAGCTAGGTTTGTCTCTGCCCTTCCATACTAATGTCCTGTAAGAAGGGCTGTTTATAAACCAGCATTCATAATGAAAAAGTACTTCTGTAAGCACAAGTCATTTCAGGCAGAAAATAAACTAATGCAGCAAGGTTAATGAAAAACAAACCCAACAAGGATTTTGGTGTGAATTTATACATTCATCTTGACAGGTTTTATCATTGTCCTTTACACAAGCATAAAACAGCACCTGTTGAAAATTCACAAAAACAACAGTTTATAGAAAATTCTATTAAACACTTCTCTCTTTGGCTTCATTCAGGGACCAATGAATTTATATGTGCAGTTGAGACAAACTCTCATAAGTTATTTTTAAGTCTCCAGTGGTTACCACAGCATTCTACACATCCATCCTATTTAGAAGACTGCTTAAGTGTGTACTTTAAGACAATGATTAGAAAACACAATATTGCTGGCATGAAAATAATTCACACAATAATTTGCTATATAAGCATGCTGCTGAATTGGGACATTAACTATCTGCTAATATAAATATTTGAGTCTTTTGTAGGCAATTGTCTAAGCACAGAACTTTCATTCCGCAATTTAGTAATGTGAAGAAAATATCTTACTCTGTTTACTTGCAATCTTAATGGGGTGGGGATGTTTGCTATTTTTTCATAATGATGACATGAGTTTTTGAAGTGTATTCAATACTAATAAGTTCTCCAAATAATTTTGAAAATTTAGCAAAAAATATCAAAATATGTCTACTGTAAATGTCAGCCTTAATAAATTCACAGTTTTTTATTTTCTGGTCTTCCTGGAGTCTTTGGTGACGTATTACATTTTTTTCTTTTCTCTTATTTATTGACTTACAAAAGATTTTTTTCAGTGAGAGTTTTCTGAGTCTAAGCATTTGGATTTCAGAATTCATTTCTTTCTTTTTTTTTCTTTTATTTTAAAAGAAATTAGAGTTTCTGTGAATATACTTTCAGAAATTTAACTTCTGGAAAAGAAAACTGTATAGAATAAAGAGTGAGATTTGAGTTTGTTTCATAAAATCAATATCATATTAATTAATTTTTAAATAAAACATTTGCCTAGATTCTAGTGGAATTAAAGCATACTCACTAAATGGAACTAAAACACTTTCAGGCTTGATTGTAAATGGGGTTTCATTGTGTTCACTTGAATCTTGTTTGATTTTTATTGTACAGTCTACAAAACCTGTAATCTCAGTTCCCTTATTGTACAACACAGAGACAACGTTCTCTATTTCTACAAACCTACTAATTAGTAAAAGTCTTATCTTTTTTAAAAATGGATTTAAGATTAAAGTATTTTATGGAAAGCTACACAGGCAAATCTATATTGCACCTATAAATCTGTGCTTAAAAAGGGAAATTTCAAAACCATTGTTGCTATCATTCTTTCTTATCATCTACTAAATATGTTGTTCTGCCCAGTCTTATTTTATTTATGGTTTGTTTGGGGGTCTTATTTATAGGTATATCCTAGATCACACCAAAGTTAAATCTTGAAGGCACTGCATGAAAATCATTGAAAACATATCCATATCTATTTTCCACATTTTTGTCCACTCGATAAAGGAATTACATAAAAGCTTTAGGAAGGAGACAGGTGCCTACATTTTGTACAGTGATCAGAATAGTTGAAATCACAAGGACTAAGAAATTCCCTGAGTCAACAGAATATTTTATTAGAATAACATTATAAATTCTAGCAGTTGTCTTTAATGAGTTCCTAAATAACCTTTAATATCCTCTTATATGAAATATAGGTTGATTTGATAGCCAGATTCACGGTGTCATTGGATTAGCAACTACCCATTTCCCTAAATTAGGAGCAGTTAGGAAATGAATTATTAACAAAGTGTATGGAGTAGGAAAAGTATTTTTGTGACCCTTTTTGCATTTTTATTTATTTCACAACTAGTAGTAAATTTTCCCATTATGCAATTGTATCCCCCACATTGTGATTGTTCTTTCTAAACAAAATTTCTAAATGTGCCAGTGAGTCCTATTACAGTTTTGGATGAGGAGCAGATGTAAGCTATGTTTGACATAGTTTTAAATACTATTGTTTCTAAATGGTACTATTTCATCTTTCTAACAGAGTAACTCTTGTATCATTCCAATTAGTGGAGTCCAATGTCTGCATTCAAAAAACTCCAGAGAAGTTACTAGATATGCAAAAAGCTGAGAGAAAAAGTGGTTTGCAAAACCTTTAAAGCAGCCAAGTCAGTTTGGCACAGTTTTAACACTATATCTACATGACTGTAATCCACGAGTGTCAGTTTTCAGTGTGGAAAAGTAAATGTAGGTTCTTTAACCAACCATTTTGAAAAAAAATATTCTGCTGCCCATCGGTTTTCAAGTTTGGGAACACGTCCCTGCAGTATTCTTTCACACCCATAATTTTTTGCTTTCCCACTGGGCATCTCTGGTGTCCATTATTTATGCATTTGTTCAGAGCCCTCGAAAGCAGGACAGTGCAGCTACTGTCTTCCATTGTTTTATTTTTAGGTTTGTTCGCATTAACGTTTCATTATAATACAGTGTTATCAGAAGAAAACAAAGGATTAAAATGGCATTTTGGATAACCTTAAGTTGATGACAAATGGGCAAGAATCAGGGCATGTAGTGTAAAGGCTGACATGCTTTACTAGGCTTGTCATGTTGGACTCAAGCTTGGTGATAGACTACACAAGCTAACTATGCTACTGTCTCGGTTTTAAGTTCAGAGTGTCTTATTCTTATCAGAAAAGCTATTGTTTCTTATAATTAAAAATAAGATTTTGTAGCCCCATGGTTTCCCTGGTAAAGTTAGATTTCTTTTCTGCATATTGCAACTTGAAATATAAGAGCTCCCTCATCTCTGCTGTTGAGACGGGTGTTCAGTCTTAATTCTAGAGAAGAAGAAAGCAGAATGAGTTCCTCCTCATCACGATTTCCTTTTTGCTCTTTGTTTTTCATCATTTGTCTTAATCTTGAACATGTCAACCAGACTGAAACTGAATGCTTAGCCCTTCATTTCACTGTGATTATACCATGCTCTCTGAGGTGTAAACTAGCTTATGCACCAAGAAAAACCTGGCAACCCAGCCCATTTGTGAATTCTGCAATCAATGCTGAATGCCAGGCTGTGATGACACATCCATGGCAGAACTTAGATGGTTTCTTTGTACTAAATGGGAATCCTTGGATGAACAGCAGTCAGAACTTTAGCTGTAGTATAGACATAGGCTACCCTCTTTCTGTTTATTTTTACAGGTTTTAAAATAATTTTTCACTCCAGTTATAATCACAACCTGAAAGAAATTTTCATATGTTGTAATAAATCCTTTGAGCTACTGCATAGTTGGAAAAATGAAGCCCTTTAAAAAACATTAGTATGTATAACAGTGACTTTTCTCAGTGCACAAGGGAGCTACAGAAACCTATACAGTGAGCTGCTGTCAGTGAGTAACAGAAAAAGGACCTATATATGTTATGACTAAGACAAAATGTCTGGCTCTGAGTGAAGTTCAAAAGCATGACAAGCAAGCTAATTTCTGATAGGATGTAGCTTGTGCCATCAGGTCGTAGTCTGAATGTAGTGCTGCTGGATGCCTAAAGCAGTTTCCCCTCCTTTGGTAGAATTGCTCTCCTTTTGGTTTAGGACACCAAAGCAACATTGGGTTCAGTTTCTGATCAGAAGCTGGTCCACTGATTGCACAGTCATTAAGTTGCCAGTGATGCCTTTCTGGTGGTAATAGAGCCCTTCATAAACTCCCAGCCCTGCACAGCTATGGTCCCTGTGCCAGGGACTGCAATGAGAAAGGGAAAGCTAGAGGGCATAAATATTTTTATTCTTTATTCGTGTTTTCAATTGGTTTTGAATTTGAAAGCTAAAATTGAAAGCATAATATTGAAGTCTTATTTTAAGATAAAAATCTTAGCTTTCAGTATTATAAAATTTAGTCTGTAGAAGGAAGAGCAATGCTAGACAGTGAAAATCTTGGTTATTGTTTCTGTGCTTTCTTTCTTCA